AACAACAACAACAACAACAACAACAACAACAACAACAACAACAACAACAACAAAACAACAACAGTAGTAGCAACAGCAGCAGCTTTCCGAACCCTTATAATTCTCAAAGCCTTCCCAGTTTCTCTCACCCTCTCAATTCGATGTTGTCTTATTTTGCAATGTTTTACTGTTGTTGTTGTGACCCGCTTCAGAATGTCTTACCACTGATATATACATAAGTTTATTTTCCGTAGAAAGTATGCCTCTCGACGATACTCTTAATAAAAAAAATATTTTTCTGAAGTCACCTCTTTCATCTGCTAAAAATGGTCAGCTTATCAAAATATATATTTCGAAAGCAAAGAATCACATTTAGGAAAACTATTGTGCTGGCCCATCAAATTATTATTTCCTTTTTCGATGCTTTGTGGTACAGTCTAAACAGATCATTAACCTTTGGAGTGCCAGTTTACCGAAACTGGATAACTAGTGTGACGAACTTACCGAAACTTGATAACTGATATGACTAATGTACCGACGTCAGATGACTAACGCGAATACTAAACATTGGTTATCCAGTTTTGGTAAATCGGTCATATACTTTATCATATGTATCTGTGTGTGTTTCTCTCTCTCTCTCTCTCTCTCTCACTCTCTCTCTCTCTCTCTCTCTCTCTCTCGCTGTGTGTGTGTGTGTGTGTGTGTGTGTGTGTGTGTGTGTGTGTGTGTGTGTGTGTGTGTGCGCGTGCGTGCGTAATAAGTATATTTTGTGTATGTGTATGTGTTTATGAGTGCTGACCGATTAATCCATTTGGTCAACATTTCATAATTTGGGATTCTGGTACAGTTGATAAGAAGACAAAGATCCCCTTCCTTCGAAACCAAATTCAAATGAATACGATGATGTCCATCGAAATAAATTGTAGTTCAATATTGGAATGCTCCACTGCTGTCCGAGGCAAATTACGGAGGCGTTTGCAATCAAAGATTTGACTAATAACTCCATAGCAACAGGCATTTTGTTTTAAAGTTGCATTGATTTCCGGACAGATACGTCATTTAATTTGAACAGAGTGTGAAAAAAATTTAATAAAATTAAAAACTAAAACAAATGTATAAAACAAAATAAAGCGTTATATTCAGACACGAAATTGTAGGCCGAACCGCATGTGTACAGGAAAAGTTCCCAGTTTCATTATGATGGGATTTAGTGAGGAAGTTTAGAAAAGGGGGCAGGGGGGAAGG